GTTAATATAAGAAAAATAAAATAAAACATGGATCAGGAATTCAAAACGTCAGAAATATGATAATGTACAATTAGAAAATGATAATAATAATAAATGTCTATTACTTATATAAAAGATGAAATTTTCTCCATGGGCATCAGTAAAAAATAAATAAATAAATAAACAAAAAAGAAAACAATGAGATGATAAAATTGAAATCATCGGCATCCTATCGAAACAAGCAGACCTTACGTGACATATAAACCTATTTGAGATATATAAGGAGCCTGGGTTCAAGATTCAGATGATTCACTCTCCAGGGCGGTGGCACTGACACACCAGCATATTTCTCAAACGACAGACAGGTGAGACAAAAAAACTAAAACTAGACTAAAAAAAAAAAAAATTATTAATTAGCATCTTTATAATAAGAAAAACACTAATCAAATCTCATGAAAATAAAGCTTTGAATCACATAGAAGCGGGCAGATGTCGAATTTAGAGGTCTTGAATTTATGCAATCTTTATATAGAGATCGCTTATATTATAAATAAGCATCTGCACTAATAAATTAGCACTTACACCATTCTTTAGCGTTGACACAAAGATCCCAGTTTTTACACCAAATTCAGTAGATGTACAAATAAAAATAATAAACTAGACACATACACACAACTGTCACTATGTCTCTACGCGTAATGTTCTTTGAACAATAAATACATATATATGTATATGTAATAATGCCTAAATTACTAAAGTCCAAATAACACCAGAATTCTAATATATACAATCAAAACACCATAGCGACAACAAAATAAACAGCCAATAACTTACCAATAAATAATCAAACAGCAACAATGCTAGGCATAAACTCACCAGATATTGCACATACTGCATTCAGGTATTAGCAAATGTTAAGGAATTGGCCATCTATAGGAGAAATGAAGTCGAACTATATGGCTAATATCAAATGAAGCCTTGCCAATTTACAACATACCTATAACCAAAGTCGCACCCCACTATATGCCATATCTATCTACCTTAACTGCCTTAGATGCCACAGACAATATGCTACATGAAATGAAATCAAACATGCCATGATCCAATAATCAGGCAATGTCTGAGAATTATAGACAGCAATTACATGTTTAAACTTATTCAAAAAAAAAAATACCATGCGAAACCAACCGTGGCAGTTGAAACAAACCTGAGCATAATGTCGAAAGATGAAACTAAACCCAGCGAAAGACGAAACCAGGTGAAACTCTGGTGAAATTGGCAAAATTTGGTGAAACTGGCAAAACCTGGCAAAACTGGCGAAACCTGGCGAAACCTCGGATAAAGTCAAAACTCAGCAAAGATCAAATCCTCTAAGACTTTGGAAAAGATTAAGCCGTGTTGATGAATGAAAATATTTTGCATAGCTATTAAGTACAGAATGTGGCTTATATAAAATAAGTAGCTGCGCGATGCAATCGCGCTAAACCAGGAACAGATTCGTTTTGTACATAGAAGGTGAAGGAAAATTTTGTAAAAAATTTATTCATTAATCGTCATGCTAATCTTAAATCGCCAGGTACGTACGTACATTATTATCGTCCACATGCTGCATAAATTAATTCTTGATATCTATATAAAGCACCAAAAGTAAACCGTATATAGTAGGCACGTTCGTATATACTAGTGTTTTTTAATAAGAGCAACACTAATAATAATCCTGAAATATACGTAATCAGTTTATTTTTGAACTTGGCATAATGAGCGCTGGCTTTACCACTAGACATTTTGCCGGTAAATGCATATATACTTTTAGTTAGAATAATGATTGGCGTACGTACACTTTAATCTGTCATGCTTTTAGCTAAATATTTTAATAAATATGTAGACAAAAATCGATTTACGTACTGTACGTATGTACATGCGTAATTTCAAATCAATATATAACCTGTATAACATGCGATTTAGGACTCTAAGCCACATTTTTATCAATACAAACATATGAAAACAATAAATACGAGTTAATAACTTGTATTAGGTACGTACGTACGTACGTACGTATGTAAAATGATCTGATGATCTGCAATTGCCGTTATTGTTACCTCATAAATATTGCTATGTGATACATATCGTGAAGTTTAAGAGCAGAAATTCACGTTTTTACCACATTTAGCACAATGACCAATCAAGTATAAGATTTTGCGGACGCACATCTCTTAACTTGCTATAGTAACCATATACTTCGTGATATTACATATCACTCCGTTCCTGGTATTACCCGGATACTAATAATACCCGGGTAGGGATTTTATAAACGGGTCCAACCTCTAAACTGATGAAAGAAAGAAAGAAAGACATTATTAAAAATTCTTCTTTTCATTATATATTACAATGTTTAATTATATTAAATTAATATTAATGCTTAGTTATAGAGGCATGTCTCATTTCGCTCCAGAAATTTTATTATTATCTTAAAAGTTTGCTCTAATTGCTAATATTTATGGCTTTGAAACGTAAAAATGTTCCTGTTGGGAAATGATGGCTGGAAAATAGTTTCAGGAAAGAAAATAAATATTAAATAAATATTTGAAAAGGGATACAAACCAAAACATGTGTCGGGATTGAAGGTTTAGATTTACTAAATGCGCAATACATTAAACCCTTTTTGTTTAAACTACATATCTATTGCGGTTTGCAGATCATTAAACAAAAGAAATCTAGACTTGAGACTTTCAAATTAAGTTTTAATACTACATAGTATTTGGTAAAGTATTAATAATAAACTTAAATGTCCAGATGTAACATAAAATCACGATTTTTGCACTTTTTTAAAGGCCAAACCCTTAGGAAATAGACCCGTGGTTACATACCGTAGACCCAACAGTATGTGTCACATGATTTTGTAATCTAAAAAAATTATTTATACATGGGTCCACACTAAATTTGTAAACTCCCGGTTTAACCCTAAAATTGCCTTTTTTAAAAAAACCTTTAATACCTTGGAATTTTGATTATAAATCGCCTGTCAGTTGATCAATAAATTCCTTGCAAAATCTTGATAAAGTATTACCAATGCTGCATTTAAGCTTTTATTCTAACAATAAAGTTTATTACTTATAACTTTTCGATTTATTTAATATTTTTGATTTTCACATTACACTTAACCTTAGATACAACTAACAACCAGATTAACTACTTTCATCGAAAAAGTACACGCTACAATATATATAGCTCAATATTGCTAAACAAACCCATGATATTATAAAGCTCACTAACACTAAACTTCGGCGGCGAAGCTGTCACATAAAAGATTACGTATATTATGATACAGTATATATAATTTTTAGTATTAAAATTTAGACTTGGTTTATCTGACTATCTATTGATAAGTATATAATATTGATCATGCATGAAATTTGTTTTGTTGGAGCACGTTTCAGCCAATCATTTGATCTGACAGAATAAATTTTGTGATATTTATTAGGGCATGGGCAGAAATCAAGTGATTTCAATTTACTAAGAGGCCATACCCCCTTTCCCCTACGTGATTAAAATTAACTAATTAAATTTATATAACCTGATCAGCCAAAAACCCCCTCTAAAATCAGCTGATTTCTGCCCGCTCCCTTGACGCATGACTTAATATTTGTGTTATCCGGCAATTCATGATCATGATTCTCAAGTCGTCATTGGCTAACTGAGTTTTAATTTGAATAAACATGATTACGACATAACACTCAAAAAAAAATAAAAGAAATAAATCCATGATCATAAGAGTTTGCTGGATAACACTATATATAACTCCAAAATTGGGTTTTCTAATTTGGGTAATAATAACCTTCTTTAATTGGTATTTCTAGTTTGGTATACCCGTTATTTTATTCTAGTATTTTTACACAGATCTTACTTACAACTCATAACTTATGCCAGTCTGCTACTATTGCTATTAGTATTGGTCAATTTAGATATATCCGATTTTATATAACCAAAGTGATTATAATATAATAGTAAATTCTATAAGTCATAAAGATTATAAGATCATAACCTATAATTAGTCAATAGGTCATAACGAGGCATAGGCCAACACCAGCCGCTATTACAGTATTATTACCATATTAATTAATATGAATACTGTGGAAACCCGATTGTTTATTTATTAGTATGACATTTATTTAACATGTATATGTTGTACCTAGAGTGGGTTTCATGCGGCTTCATGCGTGTGCTAATGCGCATTCATGCGCATTCATGCGCATGATACCGTTTCATGCGCATTTTATCCCATCAAAATTTCTCTCCTCTCGATCGTTTTCGCCTTTTTTTATCATGCGATATCATGCGCATGAAACAATTCGTGCGCGTTAATGCGCATTTTCCCATCTCTAGTTGTACCCCGAATTGGAATCTGTCCTGACTCAGAATCGGGACAGTCCCGGATGAGAATTTTGTAATTTTGGTCCGAATTATACTAGCCAAAATTAAAAATTTTTTATTATAAACCCAATTCTAACCCTAACACTAACCCTAAAGTCTTAATTCTGCCATAACAATTCACAGGATTCCTATCCGGGGTAGCCCGATTCTGGATCGGGACAATTCCAATCTGGAGTACGACATATATATTCATAAAATGTATTTTTACAGTATAATGCTTTATTAGTTATAATCAGTGTTGGCAAATAGAACAATAGAACAAAAGCTCAATTTTTTGTCTTCTTATAAGAAAAATTTTTTATTAATAATTTGCAATTATTTAAATATATATTGTTAGAACATTAGTAAAGCAATAAATTTAAAATATTTTTATATTTAATTAGTAAAGTTTAATACTTAAAATTTACAATAGAAAAATAAAAAAAATGAATAGAATTAGAAGCCAATAGAAAAAACATATAAACGTGACAACCTTGGTTATAATCTATATTATAAAAATTTTAATGTTCGATCTGTCACGTTTCATGCGATTTGTTTGCATCACACTATCTGTTGTGTCGAAGCACCTAATGTTTTATCTCTTTTTAAATTTATTTATCTCGTCCATTTACTGTATCCTCATTAATAGGTTCTATATTCTTTATCTCAAAATAATCATTTTCCTTTATCAAACGTATTTCGATTGGTATTACTGGGTTAATCTTCTTAAACCATATTTGTGGAAATAAAGCTAAACCAGCTGCATCCAATATTCCAATTCCTGAATCAAGTGGAACACTTTCATTTGCCAACCTTTTTAAGTGTTTCACATGGTGTGCATGATGCAATCCTGCTCCCATTAATACCGAGTTAAATAACCATCCAGGACTATCCCAAGTATGTGACCTAAGTTTTTTACTTTTATCCGCAGTTACGTACGTTAAATTTCGATTTAAACCATAATGTTGTGTATATGCATTTGATGAAAATGATATTTGTGTAATTATACTTTGTAATAAAAGATGTGCTAGAGCTTTCCAGCCGAGAGTAATATATGAGAAAGAAAAAAATAAGATGATCATAACCATTGAATCGATTTTATTCCCGTGATAAAAGTTACCTATCCAATTTCGTGGAAGGAATTTCCAAAAGGATTCATTGAAATATGGGGTATCAAAGTCTTCTGGACATGCAAATTTAACATGATGTCCTTGCCAATGATATTGACCGAAACCCCAACTTATACCTAGAGAAATATCAATTGCTTTTGCCATTGTGAATATAAAGCTTGATCGTATTTTGTACAATCTACCACCTATGTGCGCAGCTTCATGAGTTATCACGGCACCATAAGTTGCCATTAATAATGCACCATTTAATGCGTATATTATCCATTCAAATGAATCTGAATTACTGGATTGCCACAAAGTTACCAAAAGATAAAATAGTGTGCATATTTCATGAATAAAAAGTCGCATTGGAGAAGGTTCAGGTGCATCTAGTGCTTTAAAACCTGTAATATTGTCAAATTGAGATACCATAATAAATGTGAAAATCTGTGGAATAAATAATGCATATGGTGAGGAAATCGTTAAGGCTGTAAGATATAAAAAGGGATAAATCCAATCGAGTTGCCATGCGTGCTTAGGTAGTGATATTGAACTTAAAAGCCTTAAAATTATATTAATCGTTGCTTCTAAAATACATACTATAATCCATAATAAACCGAATAAAATTGCAAGTAAAATGTTTGGCTTTTTGCTAACTACTGGTACACTTTGTACACCTTTTCCATGTAATTTAGCATAAATTTGCTGTCCTACTAATTCACCACTACGCACTGCACCTTCAACATATCCTACAAAAGCTGGTGCATATTCTGCTGCAGCAAAGAAAATATTTTTATGTGGACCATCAGGTTCGTGTAATTTTTTCCCTAGTGTAGTTAATACGCCAGGTCGCGTATAAGTATTTGGACCACCTCTTATCCACTCATTTTCTTTCCATTCGTACCATTCTACACTATTGGCCGTTCGTGCCATCTCCATCTGTGTTAATATAACAGCATCTTCTTTCAATTGTCGTTCAACCTCTTCTTTGTATTGATCACCAGTAATACCCATCGCACGAACATTGTCAAATATACCAGTACGAGTAAAAATAGTAAGGGCGTAGGATTTCTTGGCAGGATCAGATATGTCTAATGCCCATTCCATGTATGTTTTTAGTGGGGTAGGATCTGCACCTGTTGAAAACCCACAAAAATTCGCATTGAGATTTTTGGGAATTGAAACGTTATGCCAAAAACGTTGTGAGTAACGCATGACAACACGTGCTATATAACCAATTGGCTGATTGAATAAATTTGTGCGTTCCTGACAAATAACAGGAATATCATTAAAGGAAGTAAAATTGATTTGACCGGTGACCCCAGGAGTAACACATATAGCTACAGTTCGAGCAACAAATGTAGTTCCATTTTTACCCCGAACAATGAGTTCTTGATTTGGACATGTTTTGACTTCAACAACTGGAAAGTTAAGTAAAATATCCCCACGAATTTCCTTACTGTAGAGCTGAGCTAATCCACCCATACCGCACTCAACAGAGAATTCTTGTGGTCCACCAACTGTATCTTTTGTAACCTCGTCAAAGAACCCCCCGTTAGTCACACTATACCAGAGAAAATGGAGTAGACTCAAATCCTTAGGGTCAATACTCATAATATTTCTCACACCCATAACCCATAATTCAGCAACCCATGGATGAAGTTTTTGAGCATCTATCCATTCTTGTACATTCCATTTATCCAACCAATAAGCACACCAACTTAAACTCGGATAAGCACCATTAATAAGATTCTCTAGTGCATACACGAGAAGCACCGTTTTACATAGGGACAACTTTTTTAACCACGAAGCATTAATATCAAGACTTTGAATACCATTCCAACACGTTTCAACAGATGTATCGTACCACTTTCCTTCAGAATATGTCCGAAACCATGGATTGTGGCCATAAATTTTAGTATTACTTCTTAAAGATGATAGACGAGAAGCTATGCTGTATATATGAGTTTGCTTTACTCCTATGTATTGAGCACCAAATCCAGCTGATGATTCTCCATTTGGGCCAACACATGTATTTCGACAGCGACCACCTATTTGCTCACTGGCCTCTAGTACAAGTACTTTTGCGTTTGGATCTTTCTTTTCTAACTCGATTGCAGTGGAAATACCAGCAAATCCACCTCCAATGACAATTAGATCGTATAACATTTATAGATGGTAAGATTTTAAATCGATACAATGTGTTTAAAAAGAAAAAATGAATAATTTATTTAAGGTCAAAGATCAGTGATGTTAATTGCGGGACATGTAGTGGAAATGTAGCGCTAGGTTATATAGAAATAATGGTATTATTGATTCGAACAAGCTTAGCACATTTAATAAACCCAAATGATATTTAATTTCTATGTTATTTGGCATTTTATCTCCGATTGTTGCACTTTGGTTAAACGTTCTAGATTCAGACTACAAGCTATAAACCCGATCGGAATTGTAATTCACAAATTTTTCAGTTGCATGTTACTGGCATATTCCGGATTTATACAGAGTTCAATAATGTACGTAGATAAATATTTGATTCAAATTACCAAATTTGTCAAATCTATAATGCGCTTAATTAGTTGCATCTTCATGCATATCTGTATATTGTTACGTAGTACTATTGCACTATGTAGATCAAGTTTATGTACATTCCTATAAGAATGTTGAATGGACAATTTTTCATGAATTACAATGATGCAGAATCGCGTTACCGCCTAAAACAATTTAACTGACAATCAAGTTTTAAATTAGGGGTACACGTAATGCAAAAGAAAAATAAAAATCCAAACAAATGTATGTTCTCTTGTGATTATACATGAATGTCGATTATTCTTTTAGAAACAATAATTTTGCTAAACATTTTGCTATTGATAAATTTTTTTATATGAATCCCACAAGTAACTTTACTCTTTAGTATATTTTTATATAATAATTACAGCAACCATGGAAATTAATTACGCCACCAATAAAACTGATTTCGGCAAATTAATTACCGGAATAATTGGTTATTAAAAAAAGTAATTTAAACATTCATGTATGCTTATAAGATCAAAATATACTTTAGCATATTATAATACATTATATCAAAATTATTGTGAGATTAAAATGAAATAAGATTAAAATGAATTTTGCATAGTATAAAATATATAAACCACAAAATGTTGGGGTGCATTTTTTTTAGCTTTTCTTTAGGGTCAGGGTCAACTTAAGGGTAGAATTTGTAGTAAACAAGTATAAGTGGGTTTTAGGTAGTTAAATAGAATCCTCAAAACCCACAATGGCCGTAAATTCAAATTGATCTTGCATAGCAAAGTTTTTCTTGTATAACATTGATTTTAGCATGCAGGGGTTTTGCGGTAGAAAGGGCCTAAATACTACATATAATATATACTGGATTTAAGCCTTTTCAACTGCAAAGACCTTATATTATACTATAATTAATTTAAATAGTGCTACCGTTATGTAATTAATCAAATCTTCAATCATTAAAACCGGTAGTAAACTTGAATACATTTCTCTTGGCAAGTTTATATAGCAATTATTGCACAGAATCAATCGCTATATCAGGCTAAAGCCGAAATTATTGAGAACATATTGGGGTGTATCATATCGATATCTGTCAATTTACAAACATAGTGCAGGTCATAT